TACTGTTATTTAATAATATATATACATAAATCCGAGATAATATATATATATAGATATTATATATATATATAGATAGATATCATAGATATATATATAATATATAGCTTATTATCTATAGATATATATATATATATTTCTCTCTCTCTCTCTCTCTCTATCTATATATATATAAACATATCTCTCTCTCTCTCTCTCTCTCTCGCCTCTCTCACTCTCTGCTCTCTCTCTATATATTAGATATATATTCATATTATTATATGTTATTTAATATATTTTATTATATATCCATCTCTAAATCTCTATCATCTCTCTCTCTATCTATATATCGCTCTCTATCTCTCTCTCTCTATCTATATATCGCTCTCTATCTGTCTCTCTATCTGTCTCTCTATCTGTCTCTCTATATATCTCTCTCTCTCTCTCTCTCTCTCTCTCTCTCTCTCTCTCTCTCTCTCTCTCTCTCTCTCTCTCTCTCTCTCTCTCTCTCTCTCTCTATATATATATATCTCGCTCTATCTCTATCTCTCGCTCTATCTCTATCTCTCTCTCTATCTCTATCTCTCTCTCTATCTATATCTCTCTCTCTAAATATGTTGCAAGTTTTAGGTGGCAAGGAACCCTGTACTTCTCAACAGCTGCTGTTTGGTGCCAGTGATAAGTATGAGTGTGTTAGTTTCAAGGCCTCTCTCTGATTTTGGCCACAATACAATAAAATGGTCAGGTCTGTGAGACCCAGGTGTATTGGATTACAAGAGTCTGTCTTCCCTCAATTTAACTTCCCCGAATAAGCTGCTCTGAACTGAAGGACATATCCAATCAGTCCAGGAAAGGACAGAAAGATAAGGTACCTGTGCAACTGCAACAAACCTGTCCACTCGCACTCTGTCTGCTTTGACTGTCACTAAACAACAACCCATAGAGCAATTTCTGTATATTGTCACTGCCAAGGTTATGATGTTTGGCATAAATTACCTCTACTTGTGAGATTACATGATATATACAACAAAAAGTTTGCCAATATCCTGGTTGCACTTTTACTGGATGACCAAATGTAAGCAATTATGTACCAACTCAACTTTCTCTACAGATCTAATTACATAATTTGCAGTACTGTCTCTGAATCATGAAGACACTTCATCCCACAAACCCTGACTGCTGTATGAATATCATTTTGTCTTGTTTTTATATGGGGTCCATTTAAACAAATTGTATTTTCATTCAATTTCTTTTGTAAAAAGTACAGAGCAGGGTACTTTTGGACCAAACTTCTTATTGCATAGAGAAGAGAGCCAAAATGGTTGTTCATCAATTAATTAGATAAAACAAAATTACAGTTAATGATTGACAGTAAATAAAAGTGCTGGACATCAGAGGTCATGTAGCACTATAGGAAAGTACAGTACTGAAAAGGGTAAAGAGGAAACAAAACTATTATAATCATTCTTTTTTTTATCTTCAGGTCTTTGAGACCCAGGTGTTCCAATGGTATTCTACAATTAAATGACCAATATAGTAACTGAAGGATATCAGAGATTAAGGAATAGTTATAAAAGAGAAAAACAGGCAGATATATTTGCTGCCTACCAGTCGATACTGAGACTGGAGTTTCTATATAGATGCTATATACGATATATATAATATAAGTGATAAACAGTATAGTCATATAATGCTGTCCACATTTCTACGTGTTATTTTAATGTATTTTGTATCATGCACCTAACTTTTGTAAATAAAATAGGTTACATTTTCAATTTTAACAAAGGTCTATGACAGCAAAGGACAATTATGAAATAGATGTTCTGAGTGCTTAGAAGGCTGGTAGGTGTTTGGGTGGATAGACAGATAGGCAGGCAGATATGTAGATATGAAATAGATAGACAGATATATAAGAGATACGAGGAATATAGACAGACAGATATATAAGAGATACGAGGAATATAGACAGATATATATGGGATATGAATATATGAAGTTTGTATAAACTTATTTACAAGGATAAGCTTGGCAACAAATGTGAACCCCCTTACTGTTTATTTACATAATATATATACATAATATATATATATATATATATATATATATATATATATATATATATATATATATATATATATATATATATATTACACATCTATATTTCACACTATTATTATACATAAATCCATAGATGTCACAGCAGAAAATATAGGAAAACATCAAGGGGGTCCACCACAGTACTCACACTGTCCCACGGGACTGCCCAAAACTGATTTTTGTTTTACGTAAACAGAAGCACCACATTATAAATAATACTGCCATGATAGTACTAACACTATATGATAGATTTTGAATAAAGTTAATTATTCATCTTATTCAGTTTAGAAAAAGATACTCTTAAATAAACATTTTTGAAAGCCTTGCAATATACACTACAATTAGAAATAAAAAGTTAAAGTATCTGAAGTTGTTTTCCCTTTGCTAATAAGTTACATATTTTGTTCACTGGCAAACATGCTATTTGAAATCTGGAGCTGAAGTGGGTGCACATATCATTAGTTTTACATAAACATTAAAAATATTTAATTTATATAAACATTCATAACAGAGGGTAAAATCAACAAAACAGTCCTATCAACCTATGAGATAATGGCCAAGATTATTAGCAAAAAATTTACAAAATAAGAAATTTTACTACTTTTGTGTATAAATTAGTATCATTTGGTGACAGCAAAGTGTAACTCGTTATTTCAGTAATAAAAAATCAAGATTAAAAAATGCTAGGTACTAAACAGCAGACACATCATTACTTGTAAAAATTACTTGGGTGATGCAGTCAAAATAGTACTGTGTTTGAAAATAAAATGTCAAAATAACAACTATTTTGGTTTGTATAGACTTGTAGGAATAAAAAAAAAAATAGTACTCATGAAATGAAAGAATGAGATATTTTTACTCTTAATCTGTGTGAGAAATGGCTCTTATCCTTTTCATATAAATAATACAATGTATGCTCATTATCTTTTTTGATCACACTGGATATAAAGCTTACATGCACATACGCATAAGCACATGCAACACCCATACACTCAAACACACATGCATTTGCACACCCACATATATTCATATTCACATACTACTTAAAACTTTTAAAATTAAAACATATCATAGCAACAACACATTTCCTCAACTTATAAACTTGTATACTGGAGCCAATTTTCAGACACTATGAGTAGGAATACTAAAATATAAGCTGTGTAATCTACATATTTTGAATTGTACTTTGTCAAGCCCTTTCATATATACACCATTCTTCCTCTCTCTCACTCTTGAAGGATTCTCAAATGCAGAGACTTACAACATTTTAGCATTATCAAAATGGACAATAACAAATTTCAAGTCACACCATGCCTGATTCTTAAAGCAACAATGAAAATCTACATTTTACAATAGAAATATTTGATTAATTCTACCTACAAATGACTAATGTGAGTTAATCTTGAATCAAGGCACTGTATTCCTAGGTGAACATTTCCTATTCTAAAATGATCAATTTGAAAATTTTAAAAAATATAACTTAATTTCTAATTTTTTATTCCCAAATTGTTCAAATTTATTATTTTTTCTTGCTTGCCACTCAACAAGACTGAATATATTACACAAAAAAGCTATGTTTTAAGAAAGAATAGAGGTCTCTATTATTGCAAAAGAACTCTTAAAACAACTTTCAATCCATATCTTACTTATTAAAAGGGTAACTTAACATCAGGTAAAGCACTAAATCAAAAACTCTCCTTCTTGAAAAGAGATGAAAGCTGTGCATAAGAACAGTCAACAGGTTAAAAGGTCACATAGGTATTTATCATAAGATACTGAATGTATTATATTGGGCATTCCCAGCCTGTCATTTCCTCTGGGCATCTGAAACATGAAAGATTAAGACTTCTAATAAGTAAATAATCCAAATTCATGACATCAAAGGCACACTTAATAACACTACATCAGGAAAATGGTTTAGACATAAAGAGATATGATCAGGTAAAAACACAAACATGCTCATGTGAGGTTATCTGCATTCACTGATTGTATAGACTATTTTTTTTTAGACTGATGTCTAAAAAAAATACACTTGAAGATATCATCTCTCTTAAAATTTGCTACAATATTTTTTTTTCTTTTTTTTTTGCATTCTTTGGTCTTTGGCTTGTTATGTTGAAATAAATAAATCTGTGAGAGCTATGGCCTCAAATGGGAACCTTTATGATGGTATGACAATATCAGTAAAACATCTATATAACAAATATATGGAGTAAACACCTTTACTCTTCATAACAATTAAGTAATAGATAAGAGACTCTGGGGGTAATAACTTCTTTAGCATATTCATGTACATGCTCAGCTGAGGCATACAAGGCAGAGAGGAATTCACAAGTTAAACCTATAACTATGACTTTTGGGAATTGATAGGTTATATGATCCCCTTTAAGAAGTAAATTGGCCAATGTAACTGGACAAAAAAATGGAATTTTCTATATTTTCTTGCCAAAATCAGTGTGCAGCTTTCTTGAGAACTACAGCTTTTTTCTACTTATCCATTCATGATTTAATAAATATTTTCCTCTGGTGAAAACTTTCATCTTTCATATTTTTAAATCTAATGACCACGTACTATGCAGAGTGTGCACTGAAACAGAAGAATGAAAAGGTCCCTTACTTTTATCAAATAATGCAATTCCTATTTGAACAAGGCAACACATCTTTTGTCTTTTCTTTAAGCAAATCTTTATCTACAAACTACAGCATGAATTTATGAAGGAATATTTGCATCATTAAAGCATTTACCATAATATTTAAACTGATAAATTTACTTATATACTAAAGCATACACAGAAGAAAAAAGCTGATGAATGTGCCTTCATTTTGACCATCTAGAATAAGAACACTATTCATCACTCTTCTCTGAATTTTCCCTTTCCCTTCGTTCCTTACGGATTAACACTTTAGTTCTCCACTTTCTCACTAACCTTCCAGGCCACTGATGATCCTTGTCAGTGAGAGGGACATAGATGACGCCCATGAGCACTTGTCGTTTTATGCTCCCATCGGGTAATTTATCAATCTGAAATGGTCATTCCAAAGACATAAAGATAAGAAAAACAGTAATGAGGAAGGGTTTTCATCAAATGATGACTTGCTTCTAAAGATATAGTATACAAGTTACATAAGATGATGAAGAGAAATATGTGGATTGCATTTTGTATGGCTTGTCTCCTTGAGAGTGCTTTTCAAACTGGCAATCATGCTCTTCTAACTCTGACTTTGTTTATTTCAAGGGATAGTGACCTACCTGTTCTAGGTTCTGGTTTGCTCCTTCTGGGCCAACTGGTATAATAAGCCTTCCACCTGGGGCAAGTTGATCAACGAGTGCTTGAGGCAGTGTTGGAGCTGCAGCCCCAACATGAATAGCATTGTAAGGTGCTTCTTCCTTATGTCCTAGTCGACCATCACCAACTGAAACAAAAATTTTAGCTCCATATCACACACAAACTGTATTTCTGGACTAGAAGTCTTATCAAATTAAAGACAGTAATATTTCTTATAACATAGTAAAACCTTTGCATGCATACAAATTCCATTTGCATATCATTGTATTCTTACTTGATGTTGATGAATTATGAACTGTAGTTTGAAATGGTTTCTAAGATAACAACCACCTTACAGAATCAAATTCCTTTAGTACATGTTACTAAACCTTTAATAAATGAAGCACAGTAATTCAACCCTTTATACTCTTTTTTGGCATTATATAATAAAGTACTGTAAATTATTTTGTCTAAGCTTCACAGATGAATTTTTCAAGTTATCTGTTATCATATCCATGAAAGGAAAAAAAACATACTCAATCCTTTGAGAACACATCATCTCATTTCGTATTTAAAAAGACACTAACCAACAAGTTTTATTGTGCCTGATGACAGGAGGTCTGGACTATCCTTCTGAATGTTGTCTTGAGCAAATTTGACAAGCTCTGGTATATGGTCAATACCTACAGCTTTGCCAGTTTCACCAACCTACATGAACAGAAAAGCTTACAATGAAAGCTCTATGAATTATTACAAAATATTTACAAGTAAATGGTGCAATGAACACAATACAGCATGCAATACATATTTCAAGAGTTCAGAGAAATAGTGACATCTGTTTCATATTTCATTTCTGTTTATTTATTACTGTCTGTGAGGAATTACTTCTTCAAGTAAAAATGTTAAAATGTGTCGTTGTCAAGCAGAGAGAGATGAGGAGAACTGATAAAAGAGGGTAGATGCTTACCATGTGACCCATACAGGCAGTCAGATACCCACTTCCAGAGCCAACATCCAGGGCACGGTTACCTTTCTGTAGGTGTGCACTCAGAAGCTCCAGTGCATGAGCATGCTTGAAAAAAAAATAATAATAATAATGAAATAAAGAAAGAAAAAATCAAAATCAAATAGGAAAAACATGGACTGAAAAGTATTCATGACAAATACGAAATCTAAATCAAGAGACCAGTCATTAAACTGAATTTATTAATTTTGCTGATATTTTCCTAACATAGTTACTCCTTCCTTACACCAAAGTCCAAGAGTTTAAAAAAACAACTTGAAATGATAATTTTTCATAGATACACATTCAAAAAAAATTTAGTTTTCTAAAAAAAAAAAAATCCAAATAACAGTACAATGTTTAACTTATAAACATAGAAAGTGTATATGTGCACAAGTATATTCTATCTGTGTGTATATATATATATTTTTCTTTCCTTTTCTTTTTCATTTTTTTCATATATACGTACAAGCAACAATCAAAATTTACCATATGAGGCGCACTGATTGTAACACCATATCCAATGCCTTGTGGCGAGTCCATATATGGATTGTGCTTGCTGTATAAACCTCGGTCCACACGCAGCATCACTCGCTCCACCTCTTGTGACCGGATGATCTGGTTAGCTGGAAAGAATTGAAGTCCCAGGGAAAACTAATAATTTATCAAGGAATATAATTGGCAAGAGAGATAATAATTATCATCACCATCATCTACATCAAACATCCTGTTAAAAAAAATGCACGTCCATTGCAAATTCCTAAAAGAAAGTTGATTTCTTAACCCAATCACTACAGATTTATTTATCGTCCCCTATAGTTTCTTGTGAATTTTGTTACATACAGATAACTCCTACCGTGCTTTTTTTTTTTTCTAATACTATTTATATCAATATTATTTCTACTGTTATTTTTACTGATATATTCTGACTGATTATTTAGTCTGGGTAACATTAAAGACAATGAAATAATACAAAAGAAACTTTCCAAAACTCAAGAAAAAGGTTAAACAGGTGAGATACATAGAACTAATAACTGACTCCTTGCTGACTAAGCACTTGCAGAGCCATCTATGTGTAAATACAATAAATAAACCTATATTATAGTGGGCATGGCATGTATTCTTGCCATCTATGCCAATTGGATAAAAGCTTATCTT